GCTGCCGGCCCCCCCTGTCGGGAGCTAACTGATGGCCCGTTAGGGAAGTGGGTGCCGCCAGGTAGGGCTAAATCAGACGGTGCACCTTGCAATTTGTTTCTTTACCTGAAAATCACCCTTCGCCCCAAAACTTGGAGACCTCCTCCGCGCGTGGAGGTTTGGGAAGGCAGTCCTCTTTTTCTGTTGTTGTTGGGTTTGTTACTTTTTTTCTCTCCTGCCGCCTCCCTCTCTCTTGCAGGGGCTAAGCACGCCAGTGGCTGAGATGCGAATGGCGCGGGGAGAGAAACGCTGGCGCCCGTTGAGCTTTACGTTAACTTTCCCCTCAGCCGGGCCCGTTCCCCTCCAGCAGCGAGCTGGTGTGCAGGAGGAATTCCCACGTCTGTCTGCCTGTCTGTCTGTCCGCCGCTGGCCGGGGCTGCGCGTTACCTCCGTCCCCATCCCTTCCCCCAGTCTCCAGCCAAACAAAGGTGGGCGACGCTTTTTTCCGCTCTCAAAGGCAGTTGGTGAGCAGCTTTCCTGAAACAATAACTCTCTTATTGAGAACAAATGTTGACATTTGCAGGGAGCGAGGAAAAAAGCAGCCCAGGAAGTGCAAAGTGGAAAGCGACTCTCTTCCTATTTGACGACAGCGCCAATTCCTCCGGGATCCCACCTGAGATTAAAGCCTGAATTTCAATAAATCAGCTCTAATGAAACCTCTGGCCCCGAAGAGGGGAGGGTTTGTCTCTCCCGCTCCGAAACGAGCACAGAAACGAGGGGAGGGGGTGGGGGAAGAGGGAGTAAATATAGAAAGGGGTGTGAGATTTTAATCTCAGCGGGCTGATTAGCATCGTTATGAAATAAACCGTACACAAAGTGATGTATTTTATCCTTCGTGCCTCTTTCTTGCTATACTGAAATAATCGCATTGTTTGTGCCAGCAATCTAGCAAGGCTACACTTTCCTCCTGCTTTCAATTTTGATTATTAAGTCTCAAATGACGTTGAATATGCAGTTTTTGCCCATTAATTTCTTGTTTAAAAAATAAGTTTATTTGCCAAATCGTTTGGGTGTCGCCCATCTGCATCCGCGAACCGTTCGTGAATTTCTCAGAGGATGAGAGAAGTCCATTGGGTTTTACATACATAGTGAATACTTAAAAGCGAGTTTTCCAAGTCTTTCTACTTTTCTTTCCAGGAAGAAATCCAGGTCTAAATAGTAGCAGGGGTGGGTAAATTATGGAAATCTTTTATAAGTCTTTGGGCGTATAAACATCAAAGGAACGTCGTTAGCCTTTTTTAATCTCTGCCACAGCTTTTGGTTTTTACCAATTGAAATGTACACGTTGTGTCCAACAGAGACCTGGAACATAAAACGTGGGTGGTGGGGGCAGATGGAGTAGGAGCGAGAGTGGGGAAAAGAAAGTCCAGGCGTCTCCCCCGAATGTAAAAAGTCCCTCCGTAAAATCTTCCTAAAGTGCACAGTAACGAGGGTCGAGGATGATTATAGCAAACATTTGCATCTACATCATATGCTAAATCGCAGGGAAAAAACTGAATTACTTCTTAGCTGTTCGTCTAATTGTACTACACGCTGCACGCAGATACAATTGCATTTTACCTCAATGAAAAACAGGATGTTACAGGAGCAAAGAAGCATCATTCTATAAACAACATAAGAAGATGAGTAGGCCTTCAGCTGCAGAGATCTTCAGTGTTTTATATTTAGCTAGATGGATCCCAGAGTTTTCCAGAATTACAATATTAATTTCTGCCCTATCCACTGAAAAACACATGCATTTTCTCAGTCAGTTAGATGTCTTTATAGGGGTAACATATGAAGGGGGGGGGAGGGTGCAGAGGAAGATGGATCATGGGAATTGCGTATATGTATTTAAGAAAAACAGCTTCCTTTCCCCCTATTTAATATAATCACAACATATTTCCTGACTCCAGACTAGCACGGCTCTTTATCCAGTTAACATTCCCAAGGCTGATGCCTGAAGTATCTAAGATCACTTTCAAATGCCCTTTCTAACAAGACCTGAGCAAGAGGCCACTAATTTTCACTGAACAAAAAGCCACTGGAGAGAGATCCGTTTGTCAATATCAACTGGTCCAGCAATTTCCCATCTTCAGACACATCGGCCTATCTGAGCTGGCAGATGTTTAGACAAGATTTTATAAATTGTTCAATATCAGACCATAATGAACCCCAACTGACCATTCCAAAGCAGCTAAAAGCATTCAGGATCTCCCCTGCTGGGATCTAATAATGCTCTCACGCTGGAACATTATTAATCATGGAATAAAATAGATGAGCCTCTTGAAAAATAAGTGTATGATTGATTAAAGGGCAATCTAAGAAGCTATTATTCTTGTTTTATAACCGTAAGTTATATTCACTCAATTTATCTTTTGGGGAAAATAAATGATTGTTCGTTTCTTTTCTGAAATTATATTATATGAGGATTCCCATTATTTTACTAAAAATTAAAGTGATTAGTTAGCTCATTTCATGAGCCCAATCAAAGTGGATTTCCAATGTGGCTGTAAAGATATGGTTTACTGATATAAAGAAAAAGAGGGGAAATCATAAAAAACAGGAATTGGACTTTTTTATCTCTTTTTTTTTTTTTTTTGCCTTTGCATATTTTAGCCAGAAGCAGAAAAAAAGAAAGCAGAAATAAGCCGTAGCTGATTATGATTATACTTTTTTTCCTAGAAATGGTGGATTTAAAGAATGTTAACTCAAATAAAGAGCTACTTCACACCCAGCATAAATAGTTTATAAGAAACATGCATGTATTCACATCACTCTCTCTACGCATATGCATGTATATATACAAATACGTATTTGCACACATGTGTGTATTTAAAGCTTAAGTATAACGGAACAACCCAGAAGGAATTAATTTATGCAAAGCATATCTTTGCAACATATTTAAATTGCTTACTCATTTTATGGTCTAAGCTCTACTAGTGAAATTACAACTTTTGTCATTTTCTAAATAATAGATTATTATTTTGGGGGAAATGAACGAAAAACACCATATTGTTGCAGACTAGTCTGTTTTTATTTACAATTAGAGATATAAATTAGTAAAGAATTCTCGTTAAACAACCAAAGATTGTATAACCATCAACGTTTCAAATAAAAACCAGGCAAAATTTATTTACAAAAAGTTCAGATTCCATTGCAATACAACTTGCATAAATTACTAGAAGCTTTATATCGTTACAAAAATAAATATCAAATTTGTTTCCACTTTGTAAGGACTCAAGTTCTCCAATCACGTCTTTATTATCTCTACTGTATACATCTTTTACAAATAAATTTTACAATAAATCCTATCACACCTATCGAATATATACCGTGGCAATGAAGTGATCAATTCAAGATATCCTGAGAAAAACAGATCTGTTTTCAAAAGTCACACGTACATTGGGGAAACTATACTATACCAGCAAACTCACATATGTCCAACAAAATTCTGGTTTAATAATTAGAGTCTGAAGATTTAATAGTGCTCTGTGTTCTGCTTTTATACAGTGGCACAAGATGTGATCCGGATTTAGAGATTTGTTATATATATTATCTCGGGGAGAGATGATGGCTTGCTGACTTTTTTCAAAGCAATTGTGACACCTACCTGTGGACCAAGGAAAAAACCAGATCATCCAAAAATCCTTCAATTACACACTAGCACCATTAAACGGAAAAAAATGAAGTGAGGCAAAATTCTTACTCGTCTAATTTCTTCCAGCAAAAGAATTAGTTGCCAAAATATCGGCCAGGCGATTTTTTTATTGTTTATTTAGCCCTCAGTAGTGGAGGTATTAAGAGTGCCATTGCTAGCTAGGCAGGAGGCAATTCACAGATAACATACCCTGCTTGAGAAGCATGTCGATCTCTAATAATTGTCCCCTTTTCTTTCAAATACACGGTCACTGGTGAAGCCTCGCTCAGAATGTACGATTTTAGCACTGCCACGTGAGCACAAGCACTTCGTTTTTAAACAACAACGCCTTCAAAAATATTTTTTTCTAAAGCTTTCTTTCCGTAACATTTAAATAGTCCTTACGGCTTTGCCTTACACAAGCGAGGAGTATGCAAGGTGAGGGAACTCTCTGACCTGACTTTAAAACGAAGACAAACCCGAGAAAGACAAGCCGTAATGAGAGGTTTAGAAAAACAGCAGAAAAGAGTGTCTTACTTCGTAATCAGACTCTTCAGTAATGAAGCAAGAAATTAACGTTAAGTAAGTCTAGAACCGTGCAGCGTGTCTTAGACCTGATGCCAAATGACCAGTGTAATAGAAAATGTTCTCACTTACTTGCATTGCTGTGTGATTGCACTTCTATAGGTATGGTTGTACTCCTACTGTGCAGACTTCGGTGGGATCTGTCAAAATATAACCGTCAGTTAGTCACAGGACACAGCCAGCTAACCAGATTATACAGTGCGTGTAGGTCCCAACCCTCACTCGCGCAGAAGTCGCAGCTAGGTCATTTAAAAGGCTGGCCAATAATTTGTGATTGCCCGTATCTCGAGTATTTTGTTAGAATAAGCTGACAATTATATTAGTGCAAAACTTTTTCGGCAAAAAAAAACCCCAAACAAACCCCAAAACAACCAAACAGTTAAAAATGTCACGCTCCACGTAATTTCACGTCCAAGGTCAGCAATTATCTGAACCCAAAGCTGCAAAAAACCGTGAGAATACCGGAAACAAAGAGAGCAAAACCAGTTTGTCGAAAAACAAAAAAATTACAGGCAATGACACCAGCGCTCTCTGGGTATCTTTGCGTGTAGTTTTCCTTTTAAAAATGACTTTTAAAAGCTGCGTCCGCAGCCTGTGAGGCCCATCTAAAAGTCGCCTTTTACATCTCCTCTCTCGGTTCTTAGAGGCAGGTGCCGGTACGACGGCGACGCGCCGTTTTTAATCCCCAGGTTATACTATTGCCCATCTTCACTCGGCGGTGGCAGCGGTGACAGCGCGCTCACTGTTTGCTCCAGAGAAGCTTTCGGTATTTACAGCGTATAAGGGACTTGCACGGGTCGGGGAAGGAGGGCGAGGGAGAAGGGGGAAGGAAGCGGCAGAAACAAGTCACCTACCTTTCTTAGAGTCATAACTAGAGGGCCTGTAATGTTGCTCTAGCTGGTTAGTGATCGTTTTCAAAGAGTCACTGCTCTGCTTGTGGACAGAGCTGGCGTTTAGGACAGTCTGAGTTAGTCCCTCGTTTGAAGCCACCGCTGCGGAGTTGTATCTCAGGATTCCTTGGCTCTGGAGAGCGTTAAAGTTCCCATAGTTTGTATAATTGCTATAAAAAGGTGAGGTGTAATAAATATGTCTCCCCAGGAGGGAGGAGGGCGAGTAGGCAGCGCTGTGCGGGGCGGAGGCGGGGGTGGCCGAGGAGAGCGGCGCAGGCTGGCAGCCTTGGCCCAGGGTCTGGCTCTTGAGGTCCGAGGTGGCGATTTCGGGCGACCAGAG